GGCAGTTCAGGGGCTTTACATCTATGAAGTGCACAGAGCAGCACAGGTGCCTTTGTGTTCTTCAGGCCAGCCTCGATGTAGACAAAGGCGATCTCAGTGGACTGTGGACACAGCTCAGCAGGATTACGGCTTCTCTGTGATGGAGTGATGGTTTTCTTAGCATCTGGCGAGCCAACCCGGGTGAGCAAGCCTCCACAGGATGGCAACGACAGGGCATGAATTCATGTTTAAATTGGACTCCACCTCCAGCATGAATGTTTCATTCTGTCAGCTCATGCCAGAGAGACTCGCTGGCACTTCTTTTGTGACAAATGCCAGGCCAGTTCTCCTCCTCTCCCCCAATCTGAGCGTCTTCAGCAGGGCTTTAACCGTGGTAGCACTGGCCCGGCAGCTTGAGGGTCTGATGGCTACGATTAATACGAACGCGGGTCCTTCACATTTAACCCTTTATGGCAACAATTAATTTCTACTCATTTCCTTGTTATTCAGAAAAAAATACAATATATTGCACTATGGGAATTAAAAGGGCAGGCCTTAAGGTAGCAAATGATGTGCTGTTTTTAAGTCACATGACATTTGAATCCCCCTCACACCTGTTGAAGCGCTCCAATGCTCTGTCAACCTCGTTTCTAAACATCTCTTCTCAAGGGGGATTTTTTTTTTTTGCAGCATCTTTGATAAGTAGATTAGATGTTTTTATTCACAAATCAATGTAGTTTTACTGTAAATTGAGAAAATATCAATGTTTTCATATGGCAACGCTCTACCACAGTGGAATTGCAGTAATGTATTTCCCCATTGGGATTTTTTATAGATAGTAGCATCAACAAAATGATTGCATTTATTTATTTATTGGACGTGTTTATTGTAGTTTAGTTGTATGTATGTATAAATAACAAATTGATTTCTTCTTTTCAGAAAATGGAGTGGAGAAAGTGAATAAAGCCTACACTCACTCGCTCAGAGACTAAATGGGCAGTCGAACTTGTGAAACAAAGCGTTTTGAATTTCAATGATCATAAAATACAATAGTTTTATCCTATTGATTTCATTGTATTAAATATTCATAAATAAAGATTCTTAAACGTGTACTTCTTTAAAGTTCATGCATAAATAATTTGCATTTTAGATACTCTCTCAAGACATCAATTTGAATGTTTTATTGTCTATGCGAACGTAAGTAAATGTATGTGGTAGAACCGAACTTTACATGAAATACATACAAATACTAGTGAGTAAGTGTGAAAGTGTACGATGGCCCAGTAGTGCACAACACAACAAACACAAGTTAACAACACAGTGAAATCAAGTCACAACACATGGGACATGCCTCCACGCACCAGCGTACTTCACTGACTATCATGACGCTTAATTCAGCTTATTAATCATTACCGATGCGTGATCCTCCCCTTTCAACAGTGCAACACTTCCTTAAAACCCAAAGTATTCTTCATGTTTACATGGACCAAGAGCAGTGGATCCCAAACTGTGTTGCCGTTCATGTAACTGTACCCCACCTTAAAATAACATTAAAAACAAGCATGTATTTCTAAAAGGTAAAATGCCAGTGTAAACGAGAAAATAGTGCCATAAAAGATCAAATACATGAAATGCAATCAGATCAAAACTGAGTGCATGCACACTAGCAGCCTGTACTGTATATGAAAGGTCATGTGTAGGTTATGATGATTAGTAAATCACTGCTGTTCTCGACACTGTAAAAGTGTGGATTTAGCACTTACTAGCACGAAGAACACATATAGACTGGAATATGGACATATAGAACACATCGGCTGTCATGAGGCATTATAACATTTTAATGACAAATTCAATGTGTACCACTGTAGTCGAGCTCAAGACAAATATTCATGACACAGTTATAATGCCTCACGACAGCCAATGTCAAAACCAACCACATGACAGTTTAATGTAATGTTAACCCATAAAGCTAAGTGGTTTCATAAGTTTGATAATTAATCTTGCTATGTCATGTTTATGACATACTTATGACATGTTGTGTTGTTTTAGTAATGTCAAGTTGTCAGAACAAAGACATCTCAAACAATGTCATATTTGCATTAAAAATGTCATAATTGAGCGAATGACACTTAATGACAGTTGTCATAACATGCATAAAACCTCCATGTGTCATGTCATGATTATGAAGGTGTCATGTCAGTCTTATGCACACCCCTTCAAGTAAAGTGTTACCCAATTTTCTCAGCACCCGTTTGAACGGTGTTGTGTCTTGATTCTGCTGCGATGTGTTTATGAACGTGTGTGTTATATTGTGACGTGTTGTTGAGCTCTATCGGGCCGGCGTACAAGTCATGGGCAGAGCAAGGCATTGCATTGTGATTAAAGATTATAAAGACCTTTTTTACAGTGGAAAACCAAAGAATCATGCACAACACAACCAGGAATGTGTTTTATGAAAGTAAAAGTGTTCGATACTGATTCCTGGTTGATTTTAAAAGACAGGCAGAGAAAGAAAAAGAAAAAGTAAAGATCTGTGCTTTTTACTCGTTCATTACTTTATACTTTCTAAGATGCACCCATTCGTAAGGATTCGCTTACATTAACACGGTGACACTTTACAACAAGGTTCATTAGTTAACATTAGTTAATGAGGGTCTAAGCGACGGGATTGGCTGGTTCCTCTTCTTCTCTGACCACAGCCAGCGGTCCACTACCTCGAGCCTGGACCTGCTCAGAGACGGTGTGTAGCGCTGGGGTTTCCCCGAGAGCTGAACACACACACACACACACAGACGTGAAGAGAGGGAGAAGAACAGAGAGAAGCAGAGGCAGAGATCAAGACCAGGAGACAGACACAGATCTCACACATCAGCTGGAACAACAGATCTGAACTGAAGTCAAGAAACTTATGGAAGAGATGTGTGAAAGGAAAAATGGAAAAGGAAATTTAGTGGCGGCGTTTGGCTTTTTTTAAAGATATCGATCAGGATGGAAATCTGCACACATTTAGTCCACATGGGAAGTGAGTAAGGGAGAAGAACGGGAACAGGACTTTGGGAATAATGAAGTCGTGTCAATGCCATGCTCGGTGAAACAATTATAAGAAACCGCAACAACACATTATTTCTCCCACAGGAGACCACTTCAGTTTGTGTTGAACGCAATGTCAATGCTTCATTATTTTCATTTATATCTGTACCCATCAATAGCTTATGTCTCAATAAAGACATGTCTGCATATGCTGATTAACCATTCACAGCACTATATGTGTGTTTTCATTCAATTATTGAATAGTTTAATGTGGAATATTACACAGTGAGAAAATGGATAATAATGCGATTATGACTTTGCTAAATCAACGCAGCCACCTGACACCAGCCAATCATGAACTCACAGATCAATGTGTTTTTTTGTTTTGTTTTTTGTTTTTTGCAAAACCTTGTGAATTTAAAAGACCAAAATAAACCATAATAAACACTTTCAAAACAGAAGATTATATATATATACTGTATATTGGGAGTACGGCATTACAAGTAATGTGAGTAACTTAATCAGATTACTTTTTTCAAGTAATGCATTACTTTTAAATTTATAACAAAATTTGTGCATTACTTATTTGAAAATTGTGAATTTGCTTTTCCTTCCGCCTGAGGCTTAATTCACTCCTGCTGTGAAAGGGCATTTAGTTTGACCAAAAATATAACTTTTTTTTTGTTATTTAAAAGACATGCAAGCCCAGCTCAGGGGACAAAGAGTAACGCAAAAGCAATATAATGCATTACGTTCCATAAAAAGTAACAAAGTAACGCAATTAGTTACTTTCTAGGGAGTAACGCAATATTGTAAAACATTACAACTTTCCCCAACACTGTATGTGTGTGTGTGTGTCTGTATACAGTATATATATATATATATATATATATTACAAGTAACTTGAGTTACATAATCAGATTACTTTTTTCAAGTAACTAGTATGCATTAATGCATTACTTTTACATTTAGAAAAACATATGTGAGTTCCTTTTTCAGATTAGTAATGCAGACTCCTTCGTTCCCCATGGACTGACATCTGTCCTGTGCTCATGTTGAAGTGCAGAGGTGTGTGTGTGTGTGTGTGTGTGTGTGTGTGTGTGTGTGTGTGTGTGTGTGTGTGTGTGTGTGTGTGTGTGTGTGTGTGTGTGTGTGTGTGTGAACATCATGGGTACTGTAGTGAACATTTACTCATCTCACTTACACAAAAACACATTCAGTATTGCTACAATTAATAAAAGCAGTGAAAAGCAAACTCAGAATATTACGCAAATCTGCAATAATTCATTAAATATGTTAAATTACACAAATGGACTTTATGGATTTAATCTCACTTTATTAACCAATGTCGTTGCTGCTGACCTTCGATGATCCAATTCAACCATACTAATAAGCAAAAGACATGCAAGCCCATCTCAGGGGACAAAGAGTAACGCAAAAGCAATGTAATGCAGCACGTTCCGTTAAAAGTAAAAAAACAACGCAATTAGTTACTTTTTAGGGAGTAACCCAATACTATAACGCATTACTTTTAAAAGTAACTTTCCCCAATGCTGTGTGTGTGTGTGTGTGTGTGTTTATTACACAACTACTGTCAGTATCCTTGTGCATTCAAAAATCTCACTGGATTATTTCAATGAGTGGCACTGACACACTACAGCCGAAGATAGAAATACCTGGCTTAAAACCATTTTTGGGGATGAAAATACTAATGTGCCTAAGACTTTTGCACAGTACTATATATATATATATATATATATATATATATAATGTGTTCTGATTAATTGCTCCAAACCAGTTTCACAAGAATATGTAGGCTACCATTTTTTGAGTTTGTAATTGAGTTTGCAATGTGAAAATCTATGATTTGTATAAAAAAACGTAAGAATGAAGGTCTATCCGTACAATGAGAACATACAAATGAGGTGGTACGAATACACATGTGCAAGCGAGCAGAAGAGCTCCACACACACACACACACACACTCTCACCTCCCGGCACGTCCGTCAGCTCGTTGAGGGGGGCACCGTCTCCAGTGTGTTGGCGTACGTCTTCGCCGCTTGTCTTTGGACGTTCCGAGCCTCGATCTCTTTCTTCGTTCGTGGAATCCGGCATTTGAAGATGCAGCACAGCGTTATTACTGTGAAATGAGGAGGAGAGCTGTGAGATCGCCCCGCACAACAGGCAGCGTCTCAAATCTCTCTGTTGTGGAAATGCTATTTCGCTCTGGGGAAATTTCATTAAATCACTTAATGCGATTCACGACGTGTAAATAATTAAGTGGGTTTTTTTTTACACCCATTTATGGGAATTCTGCATGCAAATTTATGCATAGCTTGCCATTTTTAAACAGGTCACCCAGAAATAAAAATGCTTTCATCATTTGCTCGCCCTCATGTCAATTATAAAAACCAGCCTATTTCTTCTGTGAAACACAAGAGGATTTTTTAATAATATACTGGTTTCTCTTTTGCATGCAGTTACAATAAAAGGAGACTGGAGCTTTCAAGCTACATAAGTGACATTAATGTATCAATAAAAAAGTCTATAAAACGTCCAAGTTATGAGCTCTTTTGTTCCCTTTGGAGCCTTGGCTGAAACATGAGTCATATTGAATGCTTTAAATGTGAGATGAAGACTTTTAGACACTTACTAATTGCTAGGATGAACATGGAGAAAATGCCAATAACCTGCCACAATCGGAGACCCCAAAACACCACAGTTTCTGAGGTGACCGGATCCGGCTTCTTCGGTGGGTCTGTTGGCAGGAGCTGTAGGGGAAAGATACACATGAGAGATGGTTCCCCGCTTCTCTTTATATTCACAGGTAATTGCACCACCTAAATGGAGGGAATGGCAACAATAGCAGTGATTAAGGACAGCAGGGAAGATTTAACCAGCTCTCATATGATCACCGTGTCAAGAAGAGACGCAGAGAAACACTTCAGGCGGGTTGCGGTGCGTTTCTAGACAGAAAGAAGAGGAAAAGTGGCAGTCTGTAAAAAATACATCAGAGAGAGAGAGAGAGTGAGAGAGAGAGAGAGAGATGAGTGAGGAAGAGAGAGAGAGAGAGAGAGAGAGAGAGAGAGAGAGAGAGAGAGAGAGATAGAGAGAGAGAGAGAGAGAGAGCGAGAGGAGAGAGAGATGAGAGAGAGAGAGAGAGACAGAGAGAGAGAGAGAGAGAGAGTGAGAGAGAGAGAGAGAGAGAGAGGAGAGAGAGAGAGAGAGAGAGAGTGAGAGAGTGAGAGAGAGAGAGAGAGAGAGAGAGAAGAGAGAGAGAGAGGAGAGACAGAGAGAGAGAGAGAGAGAGAGAGAGAGAGAGAAGAGAGAGAGAGAGAGAGAGAAGAGAGAGAGAGAGAGAGAGAGACCTCTAAACTCGTATAATTTTGAAGGATCGGTTTCAGTAGCAACCCTGTGAGTGTATTTTAAAATATTTTTTTCATCCTTAATAATATCATGTTTTCTTGTTCTTGTAATGTTTGCCATTGATGTTCAAACTTATTTTTTATGGGGTTTCATGGAATATTTGTCTTCACAAATAAGAGGTATCTCAATTTCGAGATTTTAGTAACAATGTTTCTACTTTTTTTACTTCCTGAACTTTTTTGGACACATTCTACTGTACATTAATAGAAAACACCAGCGTTTCACTGAAAATCGCTGATATTAGTGTTGTAATAAATGGCTATAACTTGCTTAGGGATTGTTACATGTAGACAAAATTTTCATCTGGAAATCTAGAATATCCAAGTAAAACTTTCTAAAGATAAAATCCAAAACTTCAGGAGGTTTTGTTTGAGTTGAATAAAAGAAAACCTTACAAATTTGCTGACGTTTTTCTTAAATCTGGTAAATTCATCCATTCTAAAACAAAATAAATGTAAAATTGGGAATTTAAATGAGCTAGATTGAAACTTGAAGTTCTCCTGTTTAAAATGACATATGGCACTTGATGCCGACGGCTGTAATGGGTTAAATGTTCTCTTTAATGGTTAACTAACATGAACTAACCATGAGCAATACATTTGTTACAGTATTTATTAATCTTTGTTAATGTTAGTTAATAAAAAATACAGTTGTTCATTGTTTGTTCATGTTAGTTCACAGTGCATTAACTAATGTTAACAAGATTTTAATAAAGTATTAGTGAATGTTGAAATTAACATTAACAAAGATTAATAAATGCTGTATAAGTGCAGTTCATGCTAACTAATAACTAATGTTAACTAATGAACCTTATTGTAAAGTGTTACCAAATAACTAAAACTGAAATAAAATTAATAAAAACTAGAGATTTTTTTTTTTTTACTATAATAGCGTAATAGCATCTCAACGACAGTAGAATAACTCTGAAATCGAGCATGAGTTCGTTTGAAGAGCATCTCTTGAGTGTTTTCAGGCTCATGTGTGACAGCAGCTCTAAGCTGAGAGTTTGTTTCCAGCGTTTCAATAATTCACCAGGTTTGTGTCCTACACAGAGCGCTAGTGGACGTATCCGGTCAGTGTTGACATCTGATTAGCTGTCCGAGTCCCTCAGCACGGGTTATCACTGCACATCTTCTGTCAGAGTCTGCACTATTACAGACAGGCTTCACTCCACTGCTCTCCAGTCTCCATCTGTGAGGCCTTGCTGGTACAAAGCTTTTCACTGAGGGAACTTTCCGTCTTCATGCAACTGTATTGTCCACATCAAAATTGATGTAGCTGGTCATACAACGACTGTGTGTTTGCCATCACAATGTGACTCAAGACATGTCACTTCAAGAACATCTGGAGCCCAGTTCCTCAGTTCTGGTGTGACAAGCAGATGCTAGTCTCATATGAGGAATGAGGATGAGATGTCATGCACCAACATGATTATAGCTTCGAGTTATATGGCCTTTTGACACATGCACACTGCATTTTGACACATAGGCTACTGAATAAAACCATAGAGGCCACCCCAAGTCTCTAAAGCTGTATTTCCTTCCAAAGTTGCGAATTTAACTTGTGCACAAACTGGAATATGGCATAAAACATTTCCGAATAGAGCATCATTTCCATCCGATGTGTTCAAGAGAACAAAATCATCACTTGGGAACATTGGTGCAAAATATCTGTTATGCAGAAATGGAAGTTTCTGCAATCCGGAAAGAAACTGTTTCTTTTTTCCTCCATCATAAATGAGTGTTGGTAAATGGTAAATGGACTGCATTTATATAGCGCTTTCACAGACCCAATGGCCACAAAAGCACTTTACAATTTGCCTCACATTCACCCATTCACTCACTCATTCATACACCGACGGGCGTGTTTTCGCAGACGAAACCCAATAAACGCTCTCATTTGAGATGCTGTGATGCGATTGGTCCGCTGGTTAGTCCAGTCATCCAATCACAGCCTCTGATCAGGCAAAGTCACATTAGTTTTACATCAAGGGATTTATTCAATCAGCCTGATTTCATGAAAATGCGTCTCGGCACGCGTTGTGTTTATCGTGCATTTTATTCGCAAAAATTAGTTTTTACGTGCATATGATACGCAGTTTTCGCGTGCATTTGATACGCACTTTATTGCGTGTAATACACACGCACCCCACACCACTAATCCTACCGAAACGTATAATACACACGCACCCGACACCACTACTAAACCTACCCATGCGTATCCCTATGCACGTAAAAACTCATTTTCGCGTATAAATTGCACGATAAACACAATGCGTGCTCTAGAGACTCATTTAGTGTGATCGGGTTGATTCAATAAATGTGTTTCCAATGCCGTCTCATTGGATAAAACTATTATCCGCCTCAATTTAGCACATTTATTTAATTTATGCAAATCTTGCCATTTTGATTCAATTTTATTTGCATAAAATTTGGATGGAAAACATAGGTTATAATGTTCTGTAAGTCAAGTCAGGTTTATTTGCATAGCACTTTTCATCAAAGCAGCTTTACAGAAAATCACGAGGTTAATGTTTATAATATCTTCATATCTTCACGCCTTATAGTCACATTTAGCAGATTCGAGCTGGGCGATAATATAGTTTACAGATAATCAAGCAGGTGAGATTTGCTTTATAGTAAATATATATATCATATGTTACATGAATATCCAACTTTAGCACATTTCTCCTCAACAAGCTTCACAATCAAATCATTCATGTCTGTCGTGTAAAAGGTGCATTATAAAGTTTAATATTTAGAGTAAAGGGTTAAGTGTCACCATGAAATGGCGAGGCTTGCCTCAGTGCTAATAATTAGCATCGACTTAAACCATTAGTATTTGGTATTGACTGATTAGAGTGATATTTTTGCTAGATAAAGGGTAACGTTTCCTATCACTAAGGCTGGAGATAGCAGATAAAAGTAAATTACTATTGATGTCTCAGTGTTATTCAATAAAGCCTGAGATTTCCACATGTCTCCTGCTGTGTCGCATCGACTGAGAGAGAGCTGAAAGCCCATTCAGACATTCAGAGCTCGGCAGCTGTTTCGGTCCGGTCTGAGCAGAGACTAACACATGCAGAAACTCTTCAATGCGTATATATATATACAGATATCTTGGCCAGAAACTGAAACTCACAGTAATACCATCAGAGTGGAGTGCCTCAGGGGTTTGTGCTGAGCCCATTCCTGTCCCGAACCGCTAATATTTGATGTAACGGGTGGAATAATACGAATATAATAATTATTATATGGAATATTTATATATATAATATGTACGTGGTCATTTACGGTGCAGGTTGGGAATCAATAGACATGGTCGGACTTTGGGTCTGATACAAGTTTGACTGTTGATTTCACAAACATTTGACCTTAAATTTGATTAAAAAATACAAAAGCATTGTGTTTGGATCAAACTCTCAATTTAAATCCAAACCAGAGTTAGTTCTGCCTGTAAGAGTATGCCTTAAGACACAAGACTTCTTGGAGTTATATTAGACACCAGGCTTAAGTGGTCATTAAGAGATGCGCAAATTTTGGTAACGCTTTATTTTACAGTGTCCTTGTTACACGTTGCATTGTAGTAATTACTATAAATTATCCATAATTACATGCAACTAGCCCTTAACCAACCGATTTTCCTAAATCTAACCTAATAGTAAGTACATGTAGTAAATTAATATTACTCAGCAGCACTTAAACGAATAATTACAATGTAATTCAGACATCTTAAAATAAAAGTGTGTAACCAACCTTTTTTTTACCCCAAACATTGCATTGTGCAAACAATGGTTCTTACTTGCTTAGATTACTCTCCAGTGGTCGAGTGCATCACGTAAAGACTTGGAATAATTTCAATTAGTCCAGAATAGAGCCGCAAGACTCACTTTAAACCCTAATAGACGGACTAATTTAATAAGAGTGCACACAACTTTAGGTTGGCCACTGGGGAAGGATAGGACGATTGTGTCCCTGCTTTGTTTTATGAGAACTGTTTCAGTGTCTGCAGTTCCTAATGTCCTGTACTGCCAACTTTTGTATAGAAGTAGAAGTCTTCATTGTAATACCAGACAGGCATCAAAGGGATGTTTTTACTTACTCTTTCATAAGCCATTGCAAAACAAAGGACTGTATGGAATGAAAATATGGAATGACTTGCCGTCGGATATTACATATAAAACGAGGTTTAAAAAAATATTTAAAGGAATATTTAAAGGGGTGGTTGATTATGATTTCACTTTTCTAACTTTAGTTAGTGTGTAATGTTGCTGTTTGAGCATAAACAACATCTACAAAGTTACAACGCTCAAAGTTCAAAGCAAAGGGAGATATTTAAGATATCG